CTCAGAATCGTTTTTCGTATACAATGATATAATATCATTGGATTCAAATTTAATTCCATCCATTACAGTAACCCACTTGTAACCTACTGTACAGCAGAGTGACATACACGACTTACCCGCTTTTTTTATTTTGAGTTCAGAATAGTAGTTATAGTTATTTACGTTTATAGATAACATACCACTATATATTATATTTATACGATTAATTTAATTTGTTTATTTTTTTATCTTGAATGTAATAGGTATTGCCATATTGGTATCAGTCTCAAGACTGATTTGAGTTTTTATAGCAATTTATGCTTTTTTTTCTTTTTACATTAATATATATATATTTGCTGGATTCACATTTTTTTGCACAAATGTTCATAATGTTTAAAATTATAAAATTTAACCTATAAGATAGTTTTAACTTAATGCTCTCTTAAATGAATTGGTAAATAAACTGTTTAAAAATTATTATAATATAAAGCTGCAACTAATAGCCAATGACATGGATAAAAATGTTAAAATTAATGTATAGTTATTAATTTTTCAGACAGATCACGAAAAAAATTTAACTAATTAAATAATAATTTTTTTGAAATACTTAGCTTTACTAAGAGTTAAATTTTAAAGTAACATTTTACTTCAAAACTACTCATAAAAACATAGAAATCATAGAATACAATACAAAACAATTAAAACATTCAATAGATTTTCATTCATTTTTAGATACTTATTTTAAAAATGCATAGTAATAATAAAATTAATCGTACAATATTTTTTTTCTGTGTTTCCGCACTGACTAACATGGTTTTTTTTTTTTTGGTTTAATGTTATACAAAAAAACACATTGCATTAAGAAATAGTACAATACAACACTACAAAATGTACATATTATACAAAATTGGATGTAATTTAATACTTCAAACATAAGTTTTAAAATAGAAAAAAATTGGTTTGATGATTAAAAGAATAAAATTTAAAACACAAAAAATCTCAACAATTAATTACATAAAAGCAATTAATTGAAACCCAATGTCTTAGATTTGGACCTAAACTTTCTTAGTTCTGAGATATGGGCAGGATCATACATTGAACGATAGCTAGGCGGAACACATAAACGCCTGTGTTGACTGTAATATTTACAGTACCCACCATCAAGCAAATACATTTCTGGATAGTCCAAGTAAGGATAGCGCATACCGTTCTTTTGCCTATCTACRTTACGTAGGTATCGTGATCTACAAAACCAAAAAAAAAAAAACAGAATATTGATTTTTAAGTTTACTTTAAAAACAATGTAATACATGCGTTACAGCTCAATTATAATATTTAATTAGCAGTTTAACAGTATAAAATATTATAACCATTTCAATAATTGTGTTACATGAGTTTAGTGGATTAAATTTTAGATTTTTTTAATTGATACAACTATATTTTTCAATAATAAGAATAATAAAACCTTAAAACTTAAAAACAAATAAAACCACTGGTGCATTTAAGTCTAGTAGCAAATTATTTTTAATATTTTTTAATAGTTAAAAACTACAAAATAATATTACTGAAAAGAAATCATGATTATTGAAGACTGAAATTTTAGGACTTTAAAGAGTTTAATATAATCCACATAATATTTTAAGAATATAAACTAAAGTTATTCTAAGTTGGAATATTATGTATTTGCTTTTTTTAACTGTTGTAAAGTTGAATATACTCAAAATATAAAATATAAAATCTATTAAGATATAACATCATTTAAAGTCTATTATAAAAAATAATAAAAAATAATAAAAAATTAAATACATTAAATTCTACTCACAGGTTTGGACCTCTTTCCGATGAAAATTCACAGTGAAATATCAAAACATTTCTCTTTGCATTAACTTTATCAGTTTTTTGAAATTTTTTACCCAATTTGTTTTCAATAAAATTTTTAAATAGTTGCTCTTTGGTAAATATGTTGATTGCACCTCTAATGTGACCACCTTCATACTCATAGGGATATCTATAAATTAAACAAATACAAAACATAATTTTACTTACTATAAATATTTATATTTGAATTACCTGCAATCTATTATAAGATAGGAGTCGATGCAATCATTGAATGAGCCCTCCAATAAATGAGCTAATGTATCAGGAGATATGCTACGGAGATCTGCATGACGACCAAGTGATAACAAAGGCAATATAAATGATTGACTGAAGTCACCAATTAAATTTGATGCATTATCCTCTGAGAAAATAAAAGAATAATATTTTTAGAAGAAAAAAAAATTGTATTGTTTAATTTTAAATATAATAGTATATTACTCACCTTTCTCAAATGCAGCTTTTATTGTGGCTTCATTAGTTGAGAGTGACCTTTGGAGCTTGGAAACATTATTTTTGAAAAACCCATAATCAAATAGTGTAGTTTTTTTGTGCAATACAGGAGCAGTTAAAGAAGTATTTCTTATGTCTATTCTTGGAGAATCAAATGATATTTTAAGATCAAAATTAGGCTTTAACCTTTTACATACAATTGATTTCTCAGAAGGACACTCAAATTCATTAAATAATTTACGTTTTTTCACAACAATATTAGTGTTATTAATATCTCCAAAATCAAAATCCTATTTGTAAAAAAATACAATGATAAATTGAAAAAAAATGTAACGAATTAGTGAAATAATTACTTACAACTTTCAGAGCTGTCACTGAATCATATTTAAAATTTCTTCGTCTGACAATAGGTTTAATTATTGGCGAATGTAAGGCACAAATATCTCCATCAATCAAAGTTTTAAATTCACCCGGAAGTGAATCTTGTGACTTCAATCATCAATTATAAATAATTATAAATTATAGTATTAAAATATAATGTATTCTTGGTTATAATTTACCAATATTGCTGGAGAATTAACATTGTCTAGAAATAGATCATCTATTTCTGGGATTCCATTATGGCTAACAATTGAATCTGACCATGAAACATTTAATGATGAATTTTTCTTTTCAATTACAGTTTTGGGTTCAAATCTTCATACACAATAAAATATATTATTCAGTTGAAAATAAAATAAAAGTTAAATTACTGATTTCAGGAAAATACCCAGTTGATGACCTGGAATCTTCAGAGAGCTCCGAAAAAAAACCACTGTCTTGTAAATTAAGATCATRATCTTCTAATGGTGGACGACCACTTGTAATAGGACTGTGCATCATGAACTACAAATTAATATAACATAACAAATATTTACTAATCCAGTAAAAATATATTAAAAATATAATTTCATTAGGTTAGTATTATTTACAAATTGAATTCTTAGATAGCTACTACAGATAACTTATTAAAATAAAAGTTTAAACAGATATTAAAAAATAAAATTACTGTCGAACTTGATTGAGATGGTGATAAAATTGATTCAAAGACCATCGTATCCATACACTTAGTTAAGTTTTCTTTCTCAACTGGACTGTTCATCATTTTTTGACTTTCGATAATGTTTTTGAATTTTATCTGACTAATCTTTTCAACAATATAATACAAAATTAATTAAATTAAGAAACCAAGTCATGAAAATATTTAAAGCGGAGTATAAACAACTGTTTGGAATATTATTTACCAGATATTTGATGAGCCGTTTAAATCACGATATTTTATTAAAATGAAAATGGGAAATCCGTATACGCTCAACGTTGTATACACCATCACTTTTTTTATAATCGGGATTATGATTTAAAATATGCAGTATGCACTCGGTAGTCGGTACCCACTTTAGATCATATTAAGTAGGTACTCACATTCCACGAATCCAGATTTAACTTAATCAGTAAATTTATCTAAATCGATTTATTTTATTCTGTTTTTCATAATTAATGGTGTTATATAATCGTGGTTTAAAATAAACTATAATATAACCGTGTATACAACACGTCAATACTCTCGTATATTGGATAATTTTAAAAATAGGTTTATTAATTATGATGTGTATAATTAGATAAGTACTTTAGTTCGTGTCTTACATTGCGAATCCGGAAAAGTGAATTATTCAATTGACAATTGTATTATTATGCATTCGCAATGCACCAGAATACCAGATTCTATCGACCATGGTTGTGAATGTCAGTGTTGCCAAATATTAAAATCAAATCACTTTTAATTGAAATAATAATTAAATCACCATAGGGTACGGGATCTTATATTATGTGTTAGGATGTTTTTTGTGTCCAAACAGACTAATAGTCAAGTCCAATGGATGAATGAACACCCAGYGGAGTAAGACTTTGCAAACTTTGTGTCCACGAGAATAAATAGTAGTAAACTAGTAACTAATAGGTAACTATAATAAATTTATAAAATAATTATTTTTTAGATTCTTCTTCTCGTACTATGTTCTAAGTAAAATATATCCATCACTACGTCGCTTCGATTGGAAAAGGTAGTTACTGGAAAAGTCACTAAGTCAATGGAAGGGGGTGTCTCTATTAGTGAAATTTATTTATAGTGGAAGAGGAGTGGACACGCAGTAAATATTCTCTAAAAAATGGTGTGCGTTTGCGTTGGGCTTAATTAAAAATAGTAATTTTGGGATTGTTACTTTTTCAATTTAAAAAAAAAAAAATTAACGCATGTATAATAACATTCTCGCTTTGAAAACACAATTTCTATTTCGTAATTCAGCCGTTAAAGCACAAAATAGATTTGTTGCATACTCAGCATTTATATTATATTATATTAGTATTTTACACGTATACTGTTAATGATCATAAGCAGGCCATATTGTTTGTAAAATTTCGGATTACGCGCTTAATTTTACTGCTTTCAACTAAAATTGTATGCATTACTATTTTATAAAAAGCAATGTGTTACATAAAATATGTATATAAATGTAAGTATAATAATTTAACAATGCAATCAAATCAAACAACAAAATTCAGGAAATACGAGTACTCATATTTTCTAGTAGCTGGCATGTAATTTTTGTTTTGTATACCGTAGTGTTCACACACTACACACGTTAAAATTGTAGACTCGTAGTGCACACTTGTACGATCGGTAGGGACTGTCCAATAGTTATTAGCGAGTAAAATTATAATGTACGTCATTACGAATTATACTGTTACCAATAAAAAAGGTATATAAAACACGTTAATGTTATTATTTATATTAATAATACTTGACAAGATTAAATTAAATCTATTGTGGTTAAGGCTCTGACGAAAACGAAATTAGCTCAACCACATTACCGCATTCTGATTTCTGACCTTTGGGACTGAACTCCAATCAAGAGAAATTGGTTTGGTAATAACTTGCTAAAATATTATTTATCCAATTATCCAAATAATGTTAATGTTATTTATTTATTGAATTATTGATATTAAATGAAATATTATATTAGGTATGCCGCCGTACGTATTATGCAATAATGTCGTCTGTATCATGAGCCCGAAAGATTATTTTTTAACTGAGAGGTTTTCAGTTCTTCAGAAAATGTAAATGAAGTACGACTGTACGAGAACCTAATATTGTTGTAGACACTGTTGTATTATCAGAAGAATTAACTGAACAAGGTATTACAAGGATTCATATAAATTTCATAATATAATTTTAAATACCTTTCTTTTGAAAGCTGTTCGAAATCATATTCAATTTAGTTGGCTGTAGTGCTGTACTAAAATATAAATATGAGGGAAATAAAATTAATACTACTAGAGGAGTAACCGCTGGGATATGAGTGAAAATACTGATAATCATTAAAATTACAGCGCTGTACTAAAATATAAATGATGAGAGTGCTCCAGTAGTTACGGATATATCGTTAAAATGATTAATTAATATTATTAATAATACATTGGTACCTAATAAATTGAAATACTGATAACTGTCAAAATAAAATAGTGTAGGGTAATAAACTAAGAAGTATGATTTATGCGAAGGAAGAACTAAAAATAGTGGCATTTGTCAAAATTACATTTAACATTTCATTACTCCTATAAATACGTATATCTGATTTTAAATCAGCATTAATCATTATTTGTCTATGACTCAGTTCTATAACCCACCCACGAGTGTTTTGCATTTCTGGACTTTTTTTAATTTCTTTGGTAAATAATGCTTACACCTTAATACTAAGTAGTGGCGCCGGAAGTAAATTTTTCAKGTGTAACAAGAAATAATTTTACCCACCCTCTCAGAAACTCAAAACTATATTATTGTACACATTTTATCATATTTTAATTGATAATATAAGTAAATAGGTACCAACTGGCAACAAATACAATAATTAATAAATAATAATGAACATATTTCAAGTTATTATACCTATCCACTCCTTATTTTCAAGGTGTAGTGACCGCTACACCTAATAGTAGGGTTGGGCGCCACTGATACTAAATATTTCAATGACAATGGATGCATAAAAATAAGATGTAACTACATATTATATCAGATAATTAAATAAAAATAAATAACACTATTAACTTTAGTTTAATATATTTCCAAAGTATAAATTTTTATATAAATAATAATTTTTTAAGCCACACCTTTGACAAACTTTGTATAAATTCAAAAACATTTAAATATTATTTTTATTTTTATGAAAACAAAATGATAGAAGCTAAGATAAGCTTTTATTTTCTTATTGAAGAACTTTGTAAGAAACAAAATGTAAATAATAACAATTGGTCCAAAAGAAAAAAAACTCATGTATAACAAAAATAAATTACTTTTCAATAGTACTTATATTGATCTTATTTAACTCTGCTAAGAAATACTACATAATACTATAATAATCAAAAAATTTATATTATCTGAAGAATGACAAACTGCAATAATTACCATCCAGTATAAACCAAAAAATCGTTTCTGTTAGTATACTTTTTAATAAATTGTTTGCCGGAGCGTGTAGGCACTGTGAATGCTATTTCATCAATTGCCAATATATGACCAAATGCATAGTTCTTACTAAAACAACAATGGGCCAGTTTTAACAACTATTTGCACACAAAGTATTCATTATATTTTTAATGATTTAAAACCTACCGGAAATAGTCAAGCAGTTTGGTTGCAATTCCAGTATTACGGCAATCCAATTTCGTCCATATACTGTTGACACCTGCTTTCACAGGATAAGATTCTTCAGATACAACAACCACATCTTCTGTTTCAGTCTCTATATTACGGTTAGCTTGCGATATGAGATCTATTACTAGGCATCCAATTACTTGTCTTTTTTTTATATACAAATGAACCTGAAATGTATATAAGTAGAATATAATGTTACATTTATTAAAATATTGTAATTTTTAATGCAGTTACTATTATGGCTAGATATAATAAAATGTGTACTTTTTTAGTTGTGGGTAAAACAGAATGTTGTGTATAACAGCCAAGTTCTTTATCAACATATAACATAACTTCTAAAGCTTTTGAACATAATATTTTAGAATCCGATCCAGATATAACAACTATGCGTTCATCAATATCTTTAAAAATTACTTTTTCATTTTTTGAGCTCTAAAGTACATTTTTATAATAATCTCTTAGTTAATATTTATTAATTTTATATTAGAAATGGAACAAATTTGATTGAACAAGCATACCTTATACTTAAAAATATCCTTKGCTTTATGATAGTTGTCATGTTCTGCTTCATCTTCTGGTTCTCCTCTTGAATAATAAAGACCACATTCTTTACACAGAAAACCACCAAATTTCTTTTGTCCTGCATAAATCTGGTATTGAGTATTATCAATAATTTTTCTTCCTTTTCTCACTGAACTCTTTTTTTCACTAGAACTAATTAATATTAATATTTAATATGTATTTATTATTTTATATACACATATGTATAACATTTTTAGAAGTTTTAATATTTTGACTTCTAAGGTTATTATTACTTAATAGCCGAGATCTGATGTATAATTAGATTAATATGAATAATTAACAATATAATTTTTTAAGACAGTGAAACAATTGAATTTGTATACAATTACCGAATAATGTGACTACGTGGAGGAGTTTCATTTATGAAAATTGGGAACAAGTTAGTTTGTGAAGATTCATTTACAAGAACTGAAGCATCAACAGAAAATTCTGATATGGTTTTATCAATTGAAGTATCAGATGGTTTGTCTATGAACGTACTATTGGAAACAATTGAAGAATTTGATGCTCTAAAAAAATATATATATAATATAATTATAATAAGTGTTTTGTTTTTAAATAACTTTGAATGCTTACTCTTTTAGATAAGCAGCTGGTGAAGAATAAGCAGAAGGACATTTATTTTCATTATAGTTCTCATTAAAACCATACACATCTTTAATTGAAACTGATCTTACAATAGAGCTATGAATTTGGACATCTTCATTCATACATTTTGGATCTTAACAAACAATTATTTAAATAAGTTAAGACAATAAATACATAAAATTCATTATGGTTTTTCATTTTAATTTTTTCAAATTAAATTTAAATTTGTAAAACAATGGATTATTCTATACCTTCATGATTTGTTTTAAATGCAGGAGTCTGTAATGGACTATATAAATCTGTTAGATGGCTATCATCCAATAATTCTATTGACTTATTTATATGTTGTCCATTTTCATCCATTTTGCTGTCATTGAKTATTTTATTTAAATTTGACTCCTTGACTTCAACTCTAGAACCATTTCTATTTTCATCATTCCAATTTATAACTTTAAAGTTAAAGTCATTTTCTTTTCTAAAACATATTATTCAAAAATAACAACATTACAATTTGAATTAGTACCAAATTAAAAAACTCTTACTTCTTATTTGGTGTATCATTATGAATCACTTTGGACTTAAAAAATTTTCTGTTACTGTMTTGTTCCAATAGAATGCGTTTAGGTTTGTTTTGATTCATGTATTCTGTCCAAGTATTTTTTTTCAAAGAAGATTGTTTAGGAGTTTTGGTTTTTTTAGCAACATTCTTTTTAGTTGAATTACTTTTCTCYTCTTTTTTACATAATTTTATATCTGTAGACTCCTTCTTCAATGACGATTTAACATCAGGAAACAAATTTATTTTAGTTTTTTTTTCTCGGCTGATAGATCTAGGTCTTTTTTTACTCGTTGTCTTACTATCTTTGAATGGTTCTGTTTTTACTTTTGGATTATAATGTGAGCGGGTAACTCGATCAACACAAAAATCTTCGTGTGACATCTGTTAGTAAATATTTTGAGTATTTTAAATTGTAAAATAAAAAAAAAAATTAATTATATTCTATAATATAACAATACATTTTTTTATAATTTTATTATTGCAAATAATAAGCAGATTTTTTTATACATGCATTTTTTTTTGTTATATTAATAAATTATACCTATATGGCTATGTATACAATTAATTAATGGTTTTTAAATTTAAGAGAGGGCTGCATCAAAATTGACCACRGGCCGCAGTTGGACACCCCTGGGTTTAGGGTATTATTGAGTAAAAATTAAACCGTTAATTTGCATCTTATAGCATAGTTAACCTTTATTATTAGGTATGAAGAGTGTGATGAAGCAATGAAAAATACCTAGCCATTTGTTTTTTTTGTAAATGTGTGATGTTAATTATTTATGCAAATTATTTTGTGCACAATAAATTGTGCTTATGGTATCATGGTGGATTACCAATGAGTGGAAGGGGGAGAATTCAATTCGGAATTTAGAGGATTTCAATAATTGAATGTGTTTTAGTGAAATGGTTTAAACTTTACCGATGCATCTACCTTTAAATTAAAGATTTATTGAATAAGTAATACACAATTTAAATTCTTACCTTTTTATAATCATAAGAACATGAAGCTTTTACTTCATATTCAGCCTTGTTATTCTGGATTTCATTTAAACTTAAGTTTTCCTTTAAAATATTTTCATCTCCTCCAACATGTTTTGATTTTAACGGTGTAATGGTATTTTGTTCAATTGGTTGAGAATTTGAAGAATCCATAGTGGCAATTGATGATAAACATAAATGGTCATTCTTTGATTTCGAAATAAGACTTTCAAATTTTTCATTTAGAGTAGGACTTAATTTAGTTGAATTCATTTTAAAAGATGTTTCAGGAAAAGCATGTTCAAGATCATACACTTTAGATGGAGAGATATTTTCATCCAAATCGTCGATAGAAAATAATTTACGTTTTCTATTTGATGGAGTTTGTGATTGTTCAATTTTATGATTTTTATAAGTAAACATTTTAACCTAAAACAAAAAAAACAATATTAAATATATTGAACCAATGAATGATATTGACTACCTACAATAAATAGGTGTACACCTTTACAAAGGATCCTGATTTTTAACAATTTTTTGGATGTATTTTAGTATAGGTATTGAGATTTATGGTTAAAGAATTTGGCTGTCAATCTTGGTTTCAAAGTTAAAGCTATTTTAAGTTAACTGTTTAAGTTTTGGCTCAATGGGGAACAATGGTTTCAACTTAACACAATACATGTAACCCGAAAAAAAAATATTATTTATATTTTTTGCATCTTACAACGTTTTTAGTAACGGTGAAAAATATTTAAACATTTAATGCTTAACATTTTGTAATATTCTTGTAAGTACTTACGTTCGATGCCACACCTTCCTCGCATGTAGTCACTCTAACGTTTCGCAGTGTATTACGTACATAGGCCTATTATATGATTGCGTATCACGTGAACTGGCAAAAAGTAATAATATATGAGAAACTGAGAAATAACTCAAATAACTGAAATATCAAATAAGTATCACCTTTGAGCTTTGATTCTTAAAGATTTCTAGTATCAAGCGAGTGGCTGTACGCCATGGCAAATCAAAGGTATATCAACTTAATAGAATGTTATTCAACAACAATACGTATTTGTTGTATTTCAGTATCTGAATCTTGTTTATGCTTTTCCCTGTTTTAGGTTCTCCAATCGTCCAATCTCCGATACTTKATATGGTTATAATATGCGACCAATGAGTGGCGTAAGATCGTAACATGCGGGAAAAAAGTGGGAAACATGCGTAGGATCATACTGAAGTTGTTGACATATTATTATTATCTATACGCACGCCGCTATGAAAACGCTGAATACCTAATTTAAAAATTAAAATTAGAATTTGGACAACTTGGTAAATACGGTCGAGTGCGGTTCAATGGTGACTGGTGAGCATAATAATATTATTAATTGTTGTGACGGCAATAGGTAGTAATAATAATATACAGGAAGTGGCCGGTGCTAATAATAATATTACGAGGATATTCCAAGTGAACGGATATTTACAATATTGTTCACAATAAGTTTGCCATTATTGTCCGGCCGTGATGTCGAGACTCGGGTACCGAGAACTATATAAAAATTATTAATCAAGAATAAATTATTTGAGAGGACGCTAAACCAGTCTGCGTGTTGTCATCGTCTTTACAAAATATGKTATGACTTATGGTCAACGTCATAGCAAAAACTGTTTGTGTGGGATAGTTACACGACCTGGCTGTAATGATGGACTAACGTGACCATACGTCCSGCTTTCGAGATAAGTGTCCCGCACTCCCGCTGTCCACAAAGAACCTAAAAATGTCCCGCTTTAAGAAAAGTCGACATGTGGTAGGTATAGGTATTTATTGATCACAATCATACATTTATACTGTACCTATACAGTTAACAGTATATTATGACGTTTACATACATATTTTATATATACTGTAAAACACTAAAAGTCTAATTATATGGTTTTCTTATTAAAATGTACAGGGGTCCCGCSCTTTGAAGAAAAAAAATTATGGTCACGTTATGATAGACTCCAAATTGATTTTAAAATATACCTATTTGAGAACCTTCCGCATTTAAGCGCGTCCGCACGAGAACACGCACAAGCTGAGCATAACGTCTGCTCAGTGCTAAACTAACTGCTAACTGCTATTGGCGTGCGTAGGTTATAACTATAAAATTATCAAATGCTTTTGAATAACAACACTAACATTATGAATGAATTTGAATAATTTATTATTATTATAATTTTTTTTTATTAGAATCGCACGCGTCTGACGCGTTATAGGAATCGCAACTTTAGCCTCGGCAGCAAAGGCCACTGGCTGACGTTTGACAATTAACAATTATATAAGATTAGTTATTACAATCATTCAGTGGCGTATTTAGGAATTTGTCATGGGGAGGGTCTAGACAAT